TGAATGGGTTGCATTGTTGTATTTTGTCATGTTTCTCAGGTCTTTGCCTGAATTTCTTATGAACATTACTTGTCATGTTCTCATGTTGTTGCTAAGGATTGTCTTATTGCACTGGAGTCACACTGGGTTAAATATTTACACTTGGGTTTTAAGGGGTATTTATTATTTTCTTCATTATTTTATTTACGGGTTGTACGGAAGCCCCAAACGCAATTTCATTGTTCTCTGACAATGACAATAAATACTTAAAACCGCTGTATTTGTATTGTATTTATTAGAGACACGGCGTTTTGCAAAAGTTTAAATTTGTTCAGTGTTGAACGGCAGAAATCAGGTTTTCTTTTCGGAAGTAAGTAAAAGGAAAAAACAGCCGACAGCCTGTAAACAACTGGAGACGAGTGAGGGCGAGAGAGAGAGAGAGAGCTGTGCATGAAGTGAGATTTTATCCTGGTGGAAGCAAAACAGCAAAAGTCAGAGTGAATTCATGACGATGTTTATGTGAAGCGTAGTTTGGATCTTCTTTTGCTGCTGGTTCGGTCAATATTGTTTGGAGAGACATCAAACTAACAGCTTTAGAATCGGCGCATAAAGGGCGTGAACACAAAGCGCGGACCCACCGAAACATCAGGATCAGCGAGCTGTCGGCTTTCAGCCCCGACCGTGTCCGTGCCGTCGGTGAGAAAGGCGACATCTCACTGGTCGCGCTGTGTGTTCACGTCTTTGTGCAGAATCCGTGTTCCTGCTCTCATTTACTGTCTTACTGTTTGGTGGTTGTTGAAATTTTGTGAGATGTCACCAGAGATTCTGGCATTTCGGGCAAAATAAATTTATATTAAAAAATCGATTCAGGATTTTAATGAATCGATTTCATGTTATCCAAGCCAGAATCGATTTTAATTGATGAATCGATTATCAAAACCCCGCCCCTACAAGATTGTTCCAAGCAAGTATGAGCAGGAAAAGATTTAAGTCATGGCTGAACTGTCCCAGACATCTTCTGTTGCCCAAACTGCTACAAATGGGTGGAGCTCCAGGGCAACGGAAAGCTACGTGACCGTGACCGCTCATTATATCACAGCAGAGTGCGATATAATGAGCGGTGTGTATCACTGTAGGGTCGACCTTACATTATAAAGCACCTTGAGGCGACTGTTGTTGTGATTTGGCGCTTTATAAATAAAACTGAATTGAGTGGTAGATACAAAGACCGTACTGCCCCATATTGTACCATCATTTGTTTTTTTTATAATTGCGTGGAATGAGTCTAGAGCTGAATGTTTTTAACAGGCAAAAATACTTCAGTAAGTGAAGTAAATGTTACATTTTTGTCTTTTTCCTTTTTTTGCTGATCCGAACATTGATCCGATCCGTGACTTAAAACCATGATCCAATCCGAACCGTGACATTTTTGATTCATTGCACCGCTATCTCCTAGTGACCTCTGATTATAACAACCAAACTGAGTCAACACATGGGTGAGAGCAGACAGAGTAGGACTCTAAGAGCAGCACAGGGTTACAGGAACCTTAATGTTGGATAAATATAGCTCAATAAAAGGATTATAAACATGGTACTAACAAACATGGCACCTGTAAATATGCACCGTAACATAATGTGTGACTGAATAATACTGCTGTTTCTGCAGTATGTACACAACTCATACCACAGTGGAAATACACCATTATTAATATTAACACATACACCATCCCCACCCTTTCAGTGACACCTAGCATCCAGGTAACAGATACAGACCTCATCAACATTAGAGTGGGAGGAGTTAGTGTGCTGTAGCTGCACTCAGCAAACAGATGTTATCTATATAAACATCTGGCACATCAGTAACCAGTATACACGATTACATCCACATACTGTGCACTAGGGCTGAACGATATATCGCATTTGCGATAATATCGCGACATGATCAAGTGCAATTTTCTAACCGCAAAGGCTGCGATTATACTCTGGACATGTCCAAATTCATGGGCTGCAT